GATTCGAGGCTTCCCATGGCTCAGAACTCAAGAGCAATAACTACCGTATGTGAAAGTCACCACGTATTTGGTTTTGACACTATACATCTAAATTATGCGATTTTGCTCGCAATTCTTCTTATACAAACTCAAATGCCATACTTTGCTACCTTGCTTTCCTATCCTTCTCATGCAATTATGTTGTAGCGACGTTGATTGACCCTGGAGCCACTCTTAAAAAACAATGAGCAGGAGCCAATGTTCATCACAATGTCGGATAGGCAAGTGTTACCTCCGGAAGCACTTCTCCTGCCCGAGCCATGCTTATGACAGTGGTTATTATGGCGTAGGCACCGCAGGAAATCTTTGAGCATTTTTCGACCTCCTCCAGTTTCCGCATTGACCCCCATCGATGAACCTCCAGACAGTGCTCCAGTTGGTGGCCTGCTCAAGAAAAAACGCCCCGCGACCACCTTCTCCTCCAATCCCTCGAGCTCTCCAACATCTGACATGGCTCCATCCAGCCCTCTGACGCCAATCAAAAGAGCAGATTCCAAGAGCAGCATAGATAGGCTGATGACGAGATCGCGACCGCGAAGTCTCCAGAAACAAGGCCGACCTTCCAGTCTTTTCGGCTCCCTTCGCTCCCTACACTCCCTTCCAGATGACGATGACCTCGCGCGTGTATCATCCACACCAACATCCATACATTCAGCCTCCTTTCCTATTGATGTATACGGCGGTACGGTCTTACACCATGGCGAGATACAAACAGCAGGTGGCATGTTTAGGAAGAAGAGCCAGTACTTTGTCCTCACGGATTCACATTTGATACGGTTTAAATGCCAAGCTCGAGCATCAGACATATTCCCAAGTATACCGTCGTCAACTGGAAGAGCAAGTGGCATCCGGCACTCTCGGATGAGTTCGAACAGCTCCCTGCATGAGCTTCACGCCTCTACGTCCTCGGAGTCTCACCAAGGAATACCCCTCAGCCATGTCGTTGCTGTGTGGAGGTTGGAAGACGGAAAGCCGTATTTCAGCATACAGATATCTCACTTCGACGAGGAGACTTATCACGCATCCGACACGACACTTCAGTTACATGACCCGAGAGATTGCGATCTTTGGCTGTCGTCTCTCCGAGGGGCAGTCATGAAGCAGCGCCTAACCAATCCCAAGTCGTTCACACAAGGTTTTGTGGATTACACCGCCCGGGCACTAGAACAGGAGCATGATTATGATCCAGAGCAATTTCGTATGTTCAAAGTGGTCCAAAGGGAACGATCTGGGAGAGCAGGTGCCCGGTCATCATCTGAGGACTTGACAAAGATTTCATCGACTATCTGCATCCTAGCAATTGGTGCGTACAAGGTGCACCTGGTACCTCTTCCTAGATCTTCAAGGACGGCGTCAAGCACGTCGTTGTCTGACATGACTGGTGTCAGCCATGGGATCATGGCTCTGACCTCGCTGGCTGTTCACGACTACGATGACGCTTTTCAATTAACGTTCCGGTTGCCTCTTCAACAAGCTTCAACACTCTTACTAGCTGCCTCCCATGTCAGTGATATAGCTTTATATGTGCGGCACGCTGCCGACTATTTGAGACCCGAATGGTTAGAGGCACCCTTTACGTGGAATGTGCCGCAAAGCGTTGATGACGAGATATGGCCGATTCCGCTATCTAACGACGATTACCAAGGCTTTGACCGTACACTCACTGCTTACAGTGCTGCTTATAACATTGACACTTCAAGAATTCGGTACTTCGTGAATTGTTCGTGCGAAGACGCGCCAGCTTTCGAGCTCCATCCTCCAGCTGGAAAAGGACGGACCAGATACACAGCGCTTGAGTTGTTGGCAATAATGCGATCATTACGCTACAATGAGTCTTTCAGCACCGTTTCTTTCCGAAACATCAATCTCGAGGTGTTACACAGTCTGCATGACCGCTTTGGTGATGATCACGTACCCTTGACTACTAGGTCTGGCGAACCTTTGCAGATCGAGAACCATGCACATTTGTCTATCCTCATTCAAGAAGTACAGGCTCTAGCTGTGAAATGCAAGCGCTTACGGCGGCTGGATTTTGCATTCTCTTTGCACAGGAAGGAGCTCAATGACGACGAGGATGCTCATGATGCAGGCTGCGGCCTCTGTCAGGCACTTTTTCCACTGTGCGCCAGACAGCAGACGAATGTCGATTGGATTGTACTTAACGGCATAATACTATGCAAAGTTGATATCGACTATCTGTATGGTGCTGCACTCGATCGATCGTGCCACTTTCGCGCTCTGGATCTTGCTTATTGCGGCCTGAATGACCGAAACATGGATACAATTCTTGAAGCAATCGAGCATCAAGCTGCTACGATGGAATCTATTGATCTCTCGGGCAACCTAGCTCGGCTTGAGCCCTGGGCTCTCGGGAGACATCTAGGTGGACTAGAATTCATTCGCAAGATCAATCTGTCCAACATTTCTAGAACTTCTGGTCCGGAACCGCTTTTCGCTGCTGAAACATTGCTCGCTTGGAAGCTGGTGGAGATTCGACTGGCAAGAACATCACTGAACGAGCAGACTGTGGAGGCTCTAGCAACTTATCTCCGAAGTAACCAGTCTAACTATCTTCGGATTCTACAGCTCGACCAATGCAAACTGACCGGCAGTGCAGCTGCTAGTCTGCTGACTGCAATGGACAGAGGCCCTAGACAGCCTAGGGATCTACACATTCAACTAAACGAGAACCACCTTGAGCAGGATCACGAACAGCTCGTGAAAGTTATCAGTAGTTCGCGCACTCCCAACCAAGTCACGATGCAAATGTTAGAGTACAAGAGTGAGCGAGACTTTCAGCGACTGCTTGAGGCATTTGCTCTGAACAAGTCGACCCGTTACTTAGACATCTCCAAAGCTTCCCTCCCAGCTGATGCAAGCGATGACACCTGCGATGCGCTACACCGATTGCTTGCCGAGAACGACACCCTTGAAGTATTGGACATTTCAGGCGAGCATTCGCATCTAGAGGCCGCGAACTTTGGCAGTGGGCTGAATCACGCGCTGGCAGGCCTAAAATACAATCAATCGCTCAAGGTGCTGCACGTGGAGCATCAAAGACTGGGCCTGCAAGGAGCAAGCACACTGGCCACTGTACTGCAGGAGAACCAGAGTCTTGCGGAGATTCATTGTGAAAATAATGAAATCAATCTCCAGGCGTTCACCGTGCTCGTGAATAGTCTCGAGCACAACACCACTCTTCTTTTCTTGCCATTCATGGACAGGGACCGAGCATGGACGCAGAAAAAGGTGGACCGGGAGATCGACAGCATTCGTGACGACTCGTCAATCATGTCGAAGGCGGGAATGTCGCCCTCCACGAAAGCGACGGTGCACCGAACCCTGGGCCGTACCTTGGGCAAGACGATAGCAGGACAACGGTCTTTCTCCGCGCGCAACCTAGAAAAATCCACATCTCCGATGCAAGGGTATACGGAAAGCGATATCAAGGCGGCCATGGGCAGTCTATCGCAGAATTGGGACCGAGAGACAGCACACTTGCAGCAGTATCTGGCGAGGAACTACAGTATTGCACAAGGGTTGCCTCTGGATGGGCCGCCACTGTTGACGGTCGACCGGGCCGGGGCTGGGGACAGTCTTGCGTATGCGCTCCGCGGCATCGGGTTTGATGATACGACGCCCATCGCAGAAATGGATCGACAGCTGATACCAGACGACAGTGGGGTTGAGGACTTGGCCGATGAGGGAGAGGAAGGGGAGGAGGGGGCATTGGAGATGAGGGAACATTCGCATGTGTGACGATAGGGTTGAAGGGGGATGACTTGATTTCCATGGCATGCATGACTAGTAATGACGGAAGAGGGCGTTTTGGATAGGATGGCTCATGGATTGGCGCATGTTGATGGTTGCATCAGTGGAATGAATGATTCGTGTGCATCTGGGCGCAGCCGGCACGCTGTGCGTGGATCGCTGTATCTTGAGCGGGTTGCGCTCTTGATGGTTCGCGAGCATTTTACTCATCGGACAGACAACTACTACTTATCATTGCATCAATATTATGAGTATACCGTAGACAAAAATACAGTAGAAGATATGGTAGAGATACAATAGGTAAGGTAATACAGTAAAATAATAGCGTTAAGCTTTCAGCGAATGTGTGCTTTCGAATTTTGATGGCCATGCCATGTCTTGTCGATCAAGAAAACCCTGAAAATCAAAGAGGACCCTGAAAATCCACATCAAACCCCTCAATGCTTTTCAAACCCCACAAGGATAAAAGGGAGGAAAAGGAGCGTGGCTGAGTCGTTCCAGGCGTCGCGTCTTGGGGGCTTTAGCGTATTTGAGCATGCTTTAGCGTACTAAACATAACCTAAATCATCTAAAATTCCGGGAACTAGTGTAGTAGATTCGAACTTTACCAAAAAGGGAATAGATGCAGGGCACGATCAGCTGCATGGGAGAAGGGTACCGTTTGTTTTTTAATCTCTCGCTCGCAAAGATCTCTGCTTTTCTGCTTTTACTTTTCTGCATCCTGGCTACACGCACCACTCGCTCCTCCACCACCAATTATCCGTAATCCGTACTCGCTTTCATAGAGTACTCCCTTTCATTCTACTACTACTACTACCACTACTACTACTACCACTACTACTACCACCACTACTACTACCACTACTACTACTGTCCTTTCCATTTCATCTTCACTTGACTCGTTCAACCTTTTAAGTCTTTAATCATAATATTACTCTCCTTGGCCTCTTTCTTTCCCGACTAACATTGCATCTGCCGTCGTCCATTTCATTCAACTTCCCCCTCATGAAGGCTGCTCCTCATCCCACGCGGACAGCCCCCTAACCCTTCGGGGTCAACGCTTGCAAAGCGACAATTCCTCCAAACCTCTCCTCCACTCTATACAGCTGTCTCCATCATATCCTCCGACCTTCTCAATACCCTGATCTGCAACAAAGACCCTCGGGAGAGCGGCAGCAACAGAAACGACGATGCGACGCGGCCTCGTCATCTTCCTAATAATCAATGCTCTAATAATCGTCTTCCTTGTCCGCTCCGTCTTCACTCTCCTCACTCTCCTCGTTGAGGACGGGTCCGCCGACGCCATTCACAGTGCCGAGATCCCTCCCCCTAATTCTCCACGAATCGACGACCGGCCACAACTCATACCTAAGATCATTCACCAAACCTATGTCAACGACACTGTGCCCGAGCGTTGGAGGGAGGCGCAGAAGAGCTGTGTGGATCTGCATGAGGACTATGAATACAAGGTGGGTTTGCATATGCTGGAGCTGGATTTACGTATGGGGGACGGGAGCTGATTGGCTGTGAAAACTACAGCTTTGGACCGATGCCAAGTCACGCGAGCTCATCGCAACCGAGTACCCCTGGTTCTTAAGTACCTTCGACAATTATTCCCAGCCTATACAGCGGGCAGACGCTATCCGATACTTTGTACTCTCTCATTACGGCGGCATATACATTGACCTCGACGATGTACGTCCTCCTTTCCCGCGGGCCCTGTGTAGGAGGCCCTCAAATTCTCTCGAGCTAACATTGCTTTTCCTCACAGGGTTGTAACCGCCGCCTCGACCCTCTTCTCTCCTACCCAGCCTGGGTCCGCCGCACCAACCCCACCGGCATCTCCAACGATGCCATGGGCTCCGTCCCCCACCACCCCTTCTTCACCCTCGTAATCGAATCTTTAATTCCTTACAACCGCAACTGGAAGCTCCCTTACATAACAGTCATGTACAGCACCGGCCCTCTCTTCCTCAGCGTCATCTGGCAAGAATATAAACGCGGCCGCCCTTCCTCTACGATAGCCGGCTCCTCGGTCCTTGGGGGAGGAAGTGCACGCGGCTGGGATGGCAGTGCAGTGGGGAGAGTAAGGATACTGATGGGGGACGAATATAATAAACAGCCATGGGCTTTCTTTCGGTGGCACGGAGGGAGCAGTTGGCACGGGAAAGATGCGCGACTTATCTTTTGGATGGGGAAACACTGGATGATGCTAACGGCTTCCGGCTTCCTGGTCGCCGGCTTCGTAGGCCTGGGCTTGTGGTGGATATATGGCCGAGTGCTGCTGCTGGGAGAAAGGAGAAGAAAAGGGGGCAAAGGCGCACCGAGTGCCTGGGCGCAGAGGATCCCGCTTTGGAAGACCGCGAGCGCTACGGCATATGAGCTGACCGACAGGCATGAGGTATAAATACTGCTTCGCCAAGGGCTGGTGGAGCGGGGACGGGATAGGATGGGGAAAACGAGAGATACCATGTTAGGCGCAACGGCGTTGGCGTCAAATCTGTATGGGCGCCCACGGAGTTTGTCTCGTCATCGAGTCTCCGCGGCTCGCATGCTGCAAGGAGCAAGGCACTTCGATTCTTGTGTGTAATTTACTTCGCACATACCATTTGACCTAGGTTGTATATACAACGAGTGCCATCTCATCCGAACCAATCTTGGACCCTCAAGACCCCTTGCTCCAGTGCAATCGGATACAGCCGTCAAAAGATTTCGGGGCGGAAAGTCGATGAGCACGTCGAACCCAACCGCGTCCGTGGTACTATACACTACCACCGGCAAAACCCATGAGGCATGCAATTACGGAAATGGCACGCGCGAACGGGAGACGAAAGATGCAGGGGACCATTTCCGTAGCCCCGACGGGACAGCCGTCCTAGCATCGACCGCCTCACCGATGATTGGAACGGCGTTCCCAGGTTGGAGCCCGTGGATCCGATCACCTGGGATGTGGCAGAAAGCCTTGCGGGGACGCCGGACCTGCACCGGTTTCCCGCGTCGCAGGTGTTACTTTGGAGGATTGGCATTCGCATCGGTGACGGTAGAGAAGGCGCGCGGCTTGAGGAAAGGGGGCGTGTTGTGAGCCGGGGCGGTGGGATCGCGGTTTGAGAGAGGTCTTGATTCGACTCCTGTATGCTACTGCTAATCTGTTGTTCTTGACTCTTGATCAAGCGAGGAAGAGATGAGTGAACGTAGCCATTATCGATGAAGGAGATTTATCACATCATAGGAAACCGGGTCATTTGCAGTCCCTTAGTTGGACGAGATCGAGCACGGCGGTAAGCCTGGTTGGTGGCATTCATTCCTCGATTTTGCTATTTATCTTCCGCTTCAGGCGCCTTTCCTTCACTGGTAGGTGGATTGGCTCAATCGATGATTGACCATCTCAGCGAGGCACACACACCGAGAGCACTAGGTAGATCAAAGCTGAGGTCGCCGTCCTCCCCAACGGCGGAAAACAAAGTCTCCAAGGTTCTCTGCAAGTCATCACCTCCAGCTCTCCCGAGAGCTGAGGTTCTTTTGGTGGATTCTTTTGCCATTGGCCCATTTTCAAGTCTTTTTGTTGTAGCTCTCCGTAAGACACTGGGTTTCGAAGCTGGTAATTTTGGGCAAGACTCGGAGCTTCGAAGGGTCGATTTGGTGCGTCCGTGCGTCAGTGCGCTTTCGCCTTCTTGCGACCTCCTTTTCGCGCCCAGTCTTCATCACCACAACGTGATGGAGAGCTCAACGAGGCTGTCAATGCATCATGTTCACACACTTGTTCGCGGTATTGCATAGCACTTGCATTTCCGAACATGATGGCCAATGGCGTCGACACGATTTGAAAGCCTCTGCGCTTGGGTTCCGTTAGTGGCCATGTCCTGCTTGTGCACATCTTTTGGTTTTCATTTTCTCGCGTCCCAACCAGCCTCAGCTTTTCTCTTGTTTCTGTTCTTGCTCTCTCCGCTCCTGCTGTTCAATCATGCCCTCCCATCGTTTCCATACTGCTTCATCGTTCTGCCTCTTCTTTTCACGTCTAGTTCGGAACTCGTACGCACGCAGCCGTCGATCTGCCTCAATCCAACCTCCGAACGTCATGCCGGATAGCTGGATGTACCTGTGTGCAAACAGGTGTCAGGTCATACCGGGTCTATTCAGAATGCGGAGGTACGTTATACGGCACGGGAACATACACTTTGAATTGTACAGTCAAGCCTCGATAGATAGGAGAAACAAAATAGCCTACAGCACCGAGACCACCAGCAATGAGACCCCACTGAAAATGCAATGGTGTCAGTAAACCCAAGGTTGGCGAGCAATTTGTAGAATATATGAGCAGCGGGGAGTTGCGGATGGGACTTGAAGGGGCATCTACCTTAGCAGCGCCGACAAGTGCACCTCTGTAGGCTTCAGCACCAGCAGCACTGACCTCCTCTTCTGTCCTGCGCGGCATTATCAAAGTCAATGCTTCATCATGGTGGAGGATAGAAGAGTCGAATGAGACGGAGGAGACGGTAATAGAGGAGATCCTGCATGATGAATCTACCAACTCGGTTAGCTCATGGAAGTACCCGGCGGTTAAAGCGCTTCTGACATCTTGCCCCTCGTGCTGCCTTCTGCATGGACAAGGCTTTAAATACTAGAAAACTCCAGGCAACATGCTTTTGATTTACACTTGTATATGACTGCGCTAGATCTATCTTAAAATGTGAACCTTCAAAGAAAGTACAGCCACGCTAGGTCTCCAGTCCTCAACATGCTCCTGCAATGTGATATCCGCAGCTAAGCGGTGAAGCTGGGTAAATCGTTGAAACAATCTGCTCAAAATTCTCACGAAAAAAGCTCCTTTTCTGCACTGTCGATTGGGATTATTCAATTACATCCCTATGCATTGATGCATACAATGCCACCCAAGCTAGTCTGAGGCAGCTTCCTGGAGCTATTCATCCGCCCAAAAGTCGATTACTTGAATCTTTCTCAACATTTCCTATCCTTGCCGCTTCGTCTACTGCGGTCTTCTTGACAATCAGTGTGTTGAAAACAAGGATATTGACGGTAGTAACCCGCCAAAGAGGAAAGGTTAAGAAGTTGCTGCCCAAGCAGATAGAAGTCCTGGACTATCGTGGTAAGGCCGACGACACCTGCCATCTGGTCCCGTAACAGCTAGCTTACCACCACTAGTTTCTACACACTGTCACATATTACTACAATGGCAACCATGGCCCGGTCTACGCCCCGCTGTCGTATTAAAGGGCAACTCCAGTCGCCGCTCCTTAGGCTCCCCGGTGAGATTCGGACCAAGATCTATCGCTACGCTTTAGTCAGAGATGAACCCCTTGACTTATGGCCTCACAAGTGGACAAAGCTCGATGAAGAGGAAGAGCCATCAGTTGGAGGTCTCAAGACGCGTCATCAAGAGAGTTTGGAGTACGTTCGCAAAGAGATGGCCACGGGTCTTCTGGGCACATGCCGTCAAGTCTACAACGAAGCAGCCACATTCTTTTGGAGCGACAATCACTTCAAGTTCTCGGGCAGAAGTGGCTGGCAGGGCATGCTCCGCTTCTATTTGACCATCGGCCCTCAAGCTCGAGCACGGATACAACGCGTCAGCGTTCATGCACCTATCTACATGCGTTGGCCTGTCAAGGATGCCGACAACAAAGATCTCAACGGCAGATCCAAGAATTTCCCACACATGCACATGGTCAAGGTCGACTCAGAGGGACGTAAGTTTCCCTTTCTGATTAATTCTTTTCTAAACCTTGACCAGCAACTGAGTTGCAAGACACGTCGATTACTCTTGAGACATGTTTTACATCTCACATCGCAGCTCACAGAGAAAATGCTAATTTCGAAGACTTGAAGACCTAGACAGGATTGCTATCCAGAGAGTCTGTGCTCTCCTGACGCAAGACAGAGCCTTGAAAGAAATCAACTTCGTCATCCCGGATGGCTTCCGCAATGGCGATGAAGGGGACTTTGGCGGGTACGATGAAGACCACGATATGGAGCCTGATTCACCTCTTCGACTGCAGAAGATAGGGGCTTTGGACTGGATCAAGAAGACCGTGGTGGTCGAAGAGGGTGGGTATCTGGCGACCGACGAGGGACCTCGACAGATTATGGACCAGGGTTGGGATTTAGTCTGCTTGCCAGGTAGCTTCATTTGGGAGGAAGGGACCACGGACAAGGGGGGAAACACAGACTATGTGAAGCATGAAGTCACTGAGACTCGGAGTTGGAGCTCCCCTTACCGGGTAATAGACCATCTCATTGGCATCAAGGAGTTGTTCGAAGATGTACAAATCTCGGTACACGCAAATGGAGGCAAGCACAAAGGGCCCGTCGTCAAGACGGAGAGATTTCTAAAAGGATTTGGGGGATGCAGGTTCATTGGATCCGAAGGTGTTCTTCTACGGGTCACTGGGGCGTGATTTGGGCTTGTTTTGCGATGATACCCAGAAGGCAACGGAGAGGGGTGATCGATCTGATGCACGATCAGAATGAAGTGGGAAATATTCGGTTTTAGCGTCCACGTCAAGTCCTGGCCCTTTCAACTTTTCGACTTCCTGCTAAATCAACATTTTGCAGTCTAGATGAGAGGCTTTTAGATAGCGAGCAGTTCAAGCAAAACTCCATTTGCAGATGTTATTGACCAGGCGCGGTGCCAAAAAAATCGCATTTGCAGGGGTAGAACATGCCTGAATGTTGACAATAATCGTGAAGTCTGGGGTTTGTGGTCCATAGACCACTCTATTCGGGCTTCCTGGATATCAATTGCCAGCTTTTCCTGATTTGTTTCGTATGAGTGCATCAAGTTTGGAAGATACCAGTACCCAAGACTGCCACTTCTCCTGGCAGCACCACGCTTGAATTGTGCCCTACCCGAGACAACGATTAGATCTTGCAATTTATTTTCACCGTAATGTCCAAACCACCTCCCTGCCGCACTGCTCTCATAAATCGCAATACCAACGAAACCAAGATCCAAGTCTACCTATCCCTTGACGGCGGACCCCTCGACCCTCTACCCGACAATGCAGACTTCTCCGCCGAGAGCGTCGCACCCAACGCGCCCATCCCATCCCAGACGACGATTCACCACGCCTCCCAGTTGAAGGGGTCTCAGCAAATCTGGATATGGACCGGCATAGGCTTTCTAGATCATATGCTACATGCATGGTCAAAGCATGCCGGTTGGAGTTTACGGGTGCGGTGTAGAGGGGATTTAGCTAGTACATCTTCACGTGTTTAATCGTCCAATTGAGTCTTATAGCTAATACTTTCTATAGTCGACGACCACCACACGACCGAAGACACACTCCTCGCCCTCGGCACCGCCTTCACCACCGCACTAGGCCCCCGCACCGGTCTCGCCCGCTTCGGCCACTGCTACGCGCCCCTCGACGAAGCCCTCTCCCGCGCCGT